GAGATGAAGACCTTCTTCCCCGAGGAGGTGTCCTCTATGGTTCTAACAAAGATGAAGGAGACCGCGGAGGCGTACCTGGGCAAGACAATAACAAACGCCGTCATTACCGTGCCAGCTTATTTCAATGACTCTCAGAGGCAGGCGACAAAGGACGCCGGCGCTATCGCTGGCCTGAACGTCCTCAGGATAATAAACGAGCCCACGGCCGCCGCGATAGCCTACGGTCTCGATAAGAAGGCTGCGGGCGAGAAGAACGTCCTGATCTTCGATTTGGGCGGTGGTACCTTCGACGTGTCGATTCTGACGATCGAGGACGGCATCTTTGAGGTGAAATCCACCGCCGGCGACACGCATCTTGGCGGCGAAGACTTCGACAATCGAATGGTGACCCACTTCGTGCAGGAATTCAAGAGGAAGTACAAGAAGGACCTGAGCCCCAACAAGAGGGCCCTGAGACGCTTGAGGACCGCCTGCGAGAGGGCAAAGAGAACGTTGAGCTCGTCAACACAGGCGAGCATTGAGATCGATTCCTTGTTCGAGGGTATCGACTTCTATACGTCCATTACTAGGGCTAGGTTCGAAGAACTCTGCGCAGATATGTTCAGAAGCACCCTCGAGCCTGTAGAGAAGGCGCTCAGGGACGCGAAGATGGACAAGGCTCAAGTTCACAGCATTGTTCTAGTCGGTGGCTCTACTAGGATACCAAAGATTCAGAAGCTACTTCAAGATTTCTTCAACGGCAAGGAACTGAACAAATCTATCAATCCGGACGAGGCCGTTGCTTATGGCGCGGCAGTTCAGGCAGCAATTCTGCATGGAGACAAGTCCGAGGAGGTCCAAGATCTGCTTTTGCTGGACGTGACTCCGTTGTCGTTGGGTATCGAGACCGCCGGTGGCGTCATGACTGCCTTGATCAAGAGGAACACAACAATACCAACAAAACAGACCCAGACGTTCACCACGTACTCCGACAATCAACCGGGTGTGCTTATCCAGGTCTACGAAGGAGAGAGAGCGATGACGAAGGATAACAACATTCTCGGCAAATTCGAGCTGACGGGTATACCTCCGGCGCCTAGGGGCGTACCGCAAATCGAAGTCACCTTCGATATCGACGCTAATGGTAAGTTGTGATGCTCCAAACATTAATATTTTATATGTTAAATAATCGAAGATATTGTCCGATTATTTGTCATTTAAGTAACGTTTTCTCTAATCCAATGTATTTTGTCTTGCAGGTATATTAAATGTCTCTGCGATCGAAAAATCTACTGGCAAAGAAAATAAGATCACGATTACCAACGACAAGGGTCGTTTGTCGAAGGAGGACATAGAAAGGATGGTGAACGAAGCCGAGAAGTACCGATCGGAGGATGAACAGCAGCGTGAAAGGATTTCCGCTAAGAACGCTCTTGAGTCGTATTGCTTTAACATGAAGAGTACGATGGAGGACGACAAAATTAAGGATAAGATCGACGCGTCTGACAAGGACAAAGTCATGTCCAAATGTAACGAGGTCATTTCCTGGTTGGACGCCAATCAATTAGCGGAGAAAGAAGAATTCGTTGATAAGCAGAAGGAATTGGAGGCCATTTGCAGTCCTATCGTCACGAAATTGTATCAAAGTGGCGGAGCGCCTGGTGGTTTCCCTGGTGCTGGCGGAGCGGGACCCAACCCTGGTGCCGGTGGTGCCGGACCAACCATCGAGGAAGTCGATTAAATTAAATGGCGAACTCCTGTTTTTTTTCTCATATTTTTTCATGTAGCTTGACACCATTGCGTTTCATTTCGTTTTGTTTCATTCAACAACCTATCGTTAACTTAAGTTCAACATGCTCATTTTAGTTTATCTTTATAAAAAAGTTTTTTATTTTTGGAAGATTTTACGAGCTGTGTTAATGTAATTGTACCGTATTGTATTATATAGTGGTAAGTTTGGTATAATAAATATTTATTAATATTTAATTTAAAAAAATTATCGTATTTCGTCTTTCATCTTCCTTGCCGCAATAACTTTCCACTTAGCGTTGCTCATTGAATTGCATTTTCCGGTCGATAAAATTGTACGAGGATTATTAGATAAGTGGTGATCACCCCGACAAACTGAAAAATAAATTTATTTAATTGCTCCGATAGCTATTGTATTTACATGGAAATTCGAAAACAACTAATTCTATATACGTAAATTTTAATGAAATTAAATTGTGTACTCACACCACTGAGCAGAGCATTATTCATTTCAAAGAAATCACAAGCCGTGAACGCAATTCGATGCTGTTGCAGTTGAATCGAAAAATCATTGACCTCGTTTCTGACACGGTCTCGGTCCAGGTTTTTGCGCAAGAGATTTTCCATGACGACGTGGTTCAGGTTGTAATTGCTGCTCCGATTAGAATTTTGCTCGCCGTCCGGGCCATCCAACAGCGGTGGCACTTCTAGACCTGATTGATTCCTCGCACCGTTTAGTTTACCAAGATTCGCAGGCTTGCAGTTCAGCACAGTTGCATATATAATTATCCCGGTTCTATTGAATTCTTGTCGCGCGAGAGTGCAAATACAGCACATCAGACCAAACTGCGCGGCATACAGAATCCAAAGGATATTATTTATCAGCATGAACGCGTAGTTTTTCTCGACGACGCCCATGTAGATTCTGAATAGTGTAGCCACGACCATGGTGAAGCAGTTCGCCGAGCAGAGGAGGAGATGAAAGCCGTAAATGTCGTTTACCATGATGACCAGATCACAAATACCTGCACAACAGAATTCAAATGATTCGACAACGTCTTGATATTGATATAATCATCGCAGTTTCTTCATAGATTGTATTAAATTACACCAAATATATATATGTATGTACACGAACGCGTCGAATTGCAATTCATAAAAACTTACCGGTATGCAATTCTCTGATGCGCCGAATTTTGAGCGCGATCCACGGTGCGCCAAAGCGCTCGTCCAACTGACCGATCAATTCATTTATCGTTTGGAATCTGTGATACAGCACATAGACGACAACGTCGAAGACGAAGCTGTTGATCAACGACTGGGCTATCGTGTAATAGAGCAGCAAGTCGGACGCGAAGATGTCTTCGGGACGTATGAAATAGTAATACAAAGCGTGCACGATCAGGGACAAAGGTCCACAAGCGAACGTCGCGAGAATCGCTAGCGCTTGCACGTTTTTTATGGGCCGGTCGCTCATGGGGGTTTCCCTTCTGATCTTCTGATCCAGCTCTTTCACTCGGTCCATCAGCTCCGGCCACTTGTCGTATTGTCTGATCCCGTGATAAACGTAATAATACGCCGACACGTAGCACATCACTTTATTCATGTAGTACATGATCTTGAATATGTCGCTCTTGAAGACGCTACCGAAGGTGAAGAAATCTATCGCGCCGTACGCCACGATAACGGAACACACGGCGAAGTGAACGATACGTAGGATTATTGTGACGGCCTTCGGACACTTTCGCGGACGAGGGACGCCAACGCCGAGGAGCCAGGAGGTGTACGATATTGGACGTAAGCTGTGCTCTATCGAGGGTGAATTGCTTTCCACTTGCACATGGATCTCCTCCATTTTCGCCTCGCAGCGTCTTGCTAATCGACACGATGCGTCTTGCGAGCGAGTATGGATGCAAATTATTACATTGAAGTTCCTCGCAATACAAGATATTTTGAAGAAAGAACAGTGAAGGTTTTCTGGGAACACGGCGAGGCACTCTGACAAGCATCGTATGTTCTCCTTGGTGTTTCACGTAGAATAAAGGACGATATATATTACTTCTGCAACATTAACGAAGTTTAGATTGCGTGTCATTAGCTGCCCCTCATACCTAACGCGGTTTTAGTAAATTAAATGGATCTTCTCGGGCGAA